ACGTGAGAGTTTCCTATGGGTAAAAGGTAGGCAGGACCCAAGGGAGAGATGCAACAATGCCATCTCTTCTACAACAACCTGCAGCTCCCTGTTTGCAAATCAGCTCCTGGTGTCCCCTTGGCCACCACGGAAAGGAGTACCCGACCCCAGGACACTAAGTGACTACCAGATTCTCGAAGTCCTGGGGAGAGGCAGGAACAGCAGCGAGTCTTCACACCATGGAAATGGTCCCCAAGAAACTCCAGTGGGCACAAGTACACATCTTAAGTTAGTGGTTGTGAGTCCTATACTTACTACCTCTGTTGAAACAAGGCCTCCCCCTCAAATCACACCTGAAGCCTCAGGGAGAGATGCCCTTGTGACCAGTTGAATGACACTCGGGAATGATTTGCAAGTAGGTTGGCTTGGTATATTCATATGAGCTGGCAGTGGGCTGATTCCTCGGGGCTGATCCTGAGGACGGGACTGAGAGCAGACACTGCTAACAGGCAGAGCTGTGAAAGGGCCCTTGGCTGTTCCCTGTGTGGATGGAGAGATTTCCTGAAGGATGGATTTTCTGGACAGGGCTGAATGTCTTGGCTAGTTGTTCAGGGGCCTGGGAGGAATAATATCAGAAGCAGGAAGACAAGATTGTCTGGGCAGAGGAATATATGCAGGTCTATGAGTGAGCACGAAGCATGACGATCTCTGTGTCTCATGTAAATTAATGCCAACGAGAGAACAAAGAGAAATTGAAAATCAGACAGAAAAGACAACTTGTCCTGTGGACACCAGCTGGCCTCTGTCCTCGCCAACCCAGAGCCTGCACAAAGTGGCTGTGAGTCAGGGAGGAAGGCCTTGGGCATGGGCCCAGCGGCCTGGGCTTCCTCTCACCATGGCCGACCTAGCAACTGTCGTTGAACACCTAACTTCCAGTCACAGAGACCGATGCCGAGCCTTTGATGTGGGGACATTCCTAAGAAGGCCAGCCAGCCAACTGCTGCCAGAGCTATTATACCAGATCCTGTCCTCTGGAGGAAGCAGTGATTCACCCTCATAAGAATCTGCCCTCCCTGGCTGGGTGCAGTGACTCACGCCTGTAATCCCAGCATCTTGAGAGGCCGAACCAGGAAGATTGCTTGAGCCCAGGAGTTCAAGACCAGCCTGGCAACAAAGTGAGACCTCTTCTCTACAAAAAAAATAAAAATAAAAAAACTAGCCAGGCGCAGTGGTGTGTGTCTTTAGCCCCAGCTACTTGGGAGGCTGAAGCAGAAGGATCACCTGAGCCCAGGAGGTAAAGCCTGCGGTGAGCTGCAATGCTACCACTGCACTCCAGCCTGAGTGACAGAGTGACACCGTGACTCAAAAAAAGAAGAAAAAAATTACCTCCCCTGACCTCAGTGCAGCATGGCTGTCCAAGGACTTATTGACTGAGTGATCTGCTGACCCAGGATCCTCAGACAAGGGGTCCACTTCATGGTGAAGGTGGTGTGGCATGGGCACTTGGCCACAGGACCCCCTGGTCCTAACACGTACCACATCATCCTGAAGTATCCATCCTAACAAGATGGTGGAATGGCAGACTAAACGTTAAGGTACCATCTTGGGACCACACCCAAGATGGGGTGTGGCCACTGCACTTTAGGATGAGGTACAGATATGGAATGAACGACTGGTGTGCTATGCTGTGGCCCCAACAGCTAGAATGTGTGGGTCCAGCAACCACGAGGTGGAAGAAAGATCATCCACAATTCATCCACTCTCGGGGCCGCTGTAGACCTGCTAATACTCCTCCCTACAATCTTAGACTTCCGCTAGAGGTTCTGGTCCCCAGAAGGGGGATGTGTCTACCAGTCAATACAACAGGGCTCTGTGATCCCCCCCCCGTCATGTGGGGTCCTCGTGCCTGTGACTAAGAAGGCCAGGAGAGGAGGAGGTAACTGACAGGGTCAGCAGGCGGCGCTGGTGTTGCAGAGACATGAGATCGGTAGGAAGGGGTAAGTCTGGAATCTGGGGACTCTCTGGGACCCCTGGTGGTGCTTCTATCCCAGTGATGCCTGCTCATGGGGAGCCCAGCAGGGCAGTGCAGCTACCAGCTCGGATGCCTTGGGGATGAAAGTCTTGGTCACCCCTCCCGGTAAGTGACCAAGAGCAGCCCAATGCGGGCTGAGGGTGAAGGGATCCAGAGTGGATGGCGGGAGGGAGAAAAGGTGAGTAGCAGTGACAACCTCAGGCCTATGGCTGGGTCCCCAAACTCCCCTTTCCTAGAGACTGGACTGGCGCTACCCTAAGAACTCGGGGACTCCCAGGCTCAAGGAAGGGAATGCGCCTTCTGACTGGGACGAGGCCTCCCTCCTGTATTAGCCCACCATTTGCTCCAGTCATTGCTGCAGCCACCGATCTTGGCCACACGACTCTCTCTTGTGCTCTGCCCTGGGGCTGCAGGGTGTCAACAACTGACCTCTGACACCCCATGGGGCTGCCCCAGCCCCTGGGGGTGGGAGCCAGCAGGTCACAGCTCCCCTCTTCCCTTCTAAGGCGGCTCCTCAGAAGGTCCCAGCATGACTGAGCTCACACCTCACAGCAGTGTCTGGCTTGAGAATGTTTTCTCGGGCCGCCCCTCCCCTTCTCTGTGGAGATCGCCCCAGTCTCTTGCTCCTGTTCCTGTCCATGCATCACATCCTGGAATAAACGATCTGCACAAAAATCCGTTTCAGGCTGTGCTTTCGGGAGGAAACCCAGGCTAAGACACTGTTGTGAGCTGGATCGTGTCCCCTCTCTATAACCCTAACTCCCAGAACCCCAGGAATATGACCTTACTCAGAAACAGGGTCAGTGCAGATATCACTAGTTAAGATGGGAGCCAGGCACAATGGCTCATGTCTGTAATCCCAGCCCTTTAGGAGGCCAAGGCAGGAGGATTGCTTGAGCCCAGGAGTTAGAGACAAACTTGGGCAACATGGCGAGGCCTCATCTCTACAAAAAAATTTTTTTTTTTTTTAGTTAGAGCCTCACTCTGTCACCCAGGCTGGAGTGCAGTGGCACGCTCCCGGCCACCGCAGCCTCAACCTGCTGGGTCTGGC